CATTTTCATTTTCGATTTTTTTGCGATTACATAACTTACCCTACGGGAAGTTAATAATGAATGCACATTTTATTTTTCTTCAATTAAAATTCAACCAAAATATTAAAACTAAATTTAAAACTATTCATGTTTCTTGTATTTGTAGCAATTAACTAAATGATTACCTAATTTTTTTAATTTTAATAGTTTTAATATTTCATAAAAGAGATCAGAGATTTTAAAATCATCAAAAAATCACTTTATTAATAACTCCATGATTTTTTAAAATTAATATCAGCTTTAATATATTTGACCGTTTAAAGTTTAAAGTTGAACCTACCAACAGATTAAAATTATTACAATGGATCTTGAAATATGTTTTATCATCTCTTTATTTAGTTTTAATAATTATCTTGCATTTACTATACTTTTCTTAAGGACATAGTTTTACCACTAACCTAATTGTTGATAAATATTAGTTTCACTTATACTATTTTAGAACTTACCAAATCTGAAAGACCAGCTGCTGCTAGAAGTCCTAATGCTAAACTGAATTGTTCGTGTATAATCGTATATCCTAAATATGGTGCTAAAATAGCTCTACCAACACAAAGAAGATTTGGTATCGTAATAATATTTTCTCTCTGCAACAAATCAAACATCATATTGAAAAAAAATAATACGTATGCCATTGTAAATATATATAAGTTTCACTACTAATAAACTTCGCTGGCATCAAAAGAGAAAAAAAGTATATTGCAATTATTGCAAAACTTTCTTTCTATTGATGGCATTAGAAGTAGTTTGAAAAGTCAATAGCCTCTAACAGATTTCAATTTTCTTTTATTGTGGCCTCGGGTAAAATACCCTGTAGTGCTTGTAAAATAGTACAGAGTCATTTTGTCAAAAATAAATAATTAATCGATATTCTATCAAACACCTGATAATTGCAATAAAATTTATCAAAATCACTACTACATAAGTTCATTGATTTTAATAGAAATAATTACAAACTTTTGTAGGTGATACATGTTTGAACTGATTACTGTGACAAGACTGTGTTAATGACACTAAACATCTGAGAGGATTGTAATTATGGATTTCTTTATGATACACAGCCGCGGAAACGTTACTAAACCTAGTCCATTTTTAAATAGAACAATCAAATTCATCATATTCTAATATTGTTTAGGAAGGCTACTGTGTCATTAAGTCCGTATATACAATTCTGTCTGTAATAGCAATACTACGAAAGTAAATAACAGTAATAATATTGTTTAGTACTTCATAAAAGTAACAATAAATATGCAATAAGTTTACAAATAAAAAAAGTATTATACCTCAATGATTTCTTCCATTTTTTCTTTAACCCTGGATTTAGTTTCTTTAATATCTTTAACAAATCCATCTCGTCTCTCAATAAATTGCTCACGCCTTTTCTGCAGAACCCCTTGAATGTACTCTCCTCGTTTAATGCTATTATTGATTTCTAAGTCTTCTTTTTTCAGTCCAGATGCATATAATCGTTTATTGTACCATAAATGTATTTTATAGTAGTCAGCTTTGAACACTTGATTTTTACATTGTAGCATATTATTATCGGTGGCATGTGAAAAGCCACTGTTCTGGCAAGAAATTAATTGCCATGTCGATTTAACAGTGTGGTGCCTTAACAAAGCTTTTGGAAATTTCAGCCGGTTCATTATAAATCAACAATAATTTATCACAAAAATAATAACTAACATTTAACCTTAATCTGCCATAATAAAATAGTAAATAAATTGAAAGTTTAATCAATATTAATGGCACAGTTGAATGTCTTACTCGTTTATGCCATCGTAAATTTGTGTTATTTACGCGTTAATTTTCGTGCAACCAATTTAATAAACGAGGCCCCAATTTCATAATTGTGCGTATTTAGAAATCACAAGAAACGAGTAAAAATACAAATGCCAAAAGTGACATTTCGGGTTCCATCTATTGGGCATAATAGCAATAAAACTTATACTATTTGCAAACCAATGGTTTAGAAATAAATTTTGATGTGACAGGTGTCACAAAATGGCGCCCGCTTGACAGCTGATGAACAAAGTGAGGCGCGAACTTTTGAACTACACGAAGACAGGTTGTAACATTTATAACGTAGTTGTAGAGCAAATTTAAACCGGAACTAGCTGTAAG